TGCTTTGGATTTGTTTGGATTATTTAAGTTTGTTTACGTGTATTTTGAAAAGTTTTAAAAAATCAATAAAAACAGAGTTACAAAAACCCCTTAATGTATAAATAATGTGCAAAAATACATGTATTTATTTATTTATAAAGAATTAAAAAACATATGGGGCCCAATCTCACCTCATGTAAAAATTCCAAAATCATGTATACACAAGGGCCAATGGACTTCACCTGACGTGTTTTGGCCTGTTAGGGCCTTCTGCAGAGGTCCAGAAGTAACAAAATTAATTTTATGTATTAATTACTTTTGAAGTAAGTTTCAATATTTTAGATTGCTTTGGGGGGGTTGTTTGTTTTTGCTTCTAGATTATTATCAGTGAAATATCATTTGGCATATGATTGGATCTTGGGAGGCCTCATTTATACTTTCATTCTATGCCTAGTAATTTCACTCTGAAAATAAGACAGTATTTTTTAAAAGTATAATATAGATATTGTTTAGCTATTTTATTATACGTATTTAATTTCACATTTTTAATTTTTTTATAGCAATTCCTTTCTGGTCCATTTTGTATCCATGCTGTATAATTGTACTGTATTATTTATTATGGTATAAGCCAATTTGTCCCTCGTGTTTGACCTCCAAAGAAGGCCCTAACAGGCCGAAACACATCAGGTCAAGTCCATTGGCCCTTTTGTATATATGATTTTGGATTTTTTACATGAGGTGTGATTGGGCCCCTATATATTTTTTAATTCTTTATAAATAAATACATGTATTTTTACACATTATTTATACATTAAGTTTTAATTGTTGGCTTTTGACTTGCTTTTTTAGGTTCTTGATCCTAGTTTTCAGGGTTAAGTTTGTTTCCCTTTTTTGTTCATAGTTTGCCTTGGCTGAGTACCCACATGCATTACGACCTCCCAGCTGCTGTGGAGTCAAAAGTCTGGGGGTGCCTGCCTTTCCATTGCAATTTCAGATACTGGCTGCATGTGTCGCCCTGGGGGGGATGTGTTCTGGACCCAGGTGCAGAGTCAAATAGTACACTCCCATCAGCGAGTGTGCTTCCATCACAGCAGCCTGGAGAGAGGCAAATGGCCATGACATTGTGCATTTGGGATTGGGGTGTGTGTGTTCCCATTTGTTTAAAGGTTCAAGAGCCAGTCTCAGTCACTTGTGCCACTGATGAGATGATTGCTGTGCACAGTCAATCCTTCCCAGGGCCATGAGCCACAACATCTATGGACATCATCACATGTTCACGCATGGGGGGGGGGGCCTTCTTTTCTTCTACAGGCCCTGGAAGCAGCCTGTCACTTGCCCCATAATTAGGTTTATTGCTGTGTGTGGCTGATCCTTTGTGGATATGGATGTCAGCAGCAGGTTCGAGTCACCACTGCATCCAGTGATGTCATTGAACTTGTGAAGGTTAGGGGGTCCCCCAAGGTCACAGAGTCCCAGAGGTTAGGGGGTCCCTTTTGCTCACAGTGCTGGTTATGTTCTGTGTGGCCTTTCCCAGGGCTTCATTCAGGAGTCAGGGGCTACCCTTTGTTCCATGGCTCCAGAGCCATCCCCTTTCATTTGTACCGCTGGCAAGGTAATGGCTGTGCATGGCCCACACCATCCAGGTGTGGGTTGCAAATCTGAGTGGCTGCATCCAGTATATTTATTTATTTAATTAATTTATACCCCCGCCCTCCCCACGAGTGGGCTCAGGGTGGCTATATCCATCCTTCTTATACCAGCTGCAAGCCAGAGCCTGGGGGAGTGGGCATAATGTATCACGTTCAGGTGCACAGCTCAAGAGCTATCCGCTTGCATTCACACCTCTGGCAAGGTGATTGCTGTGCATGGCCAATCCATCCAGGGTGTCTGATGCGGGTTGCTAATATGTGTGGCCACACCTTGTCACCTCTTACCCAGACTTTCCATCCTCCTTTAGACACTGGCTGCAAGCCACAGCTGGAGGGGCATGATATAGAGCATTTGGGAATTAGGAAAGTCCTCCCTTTGTTCCAGAGCTCCAGGGATATCCCCTTTCACTCACACCACTGATCGCCATGTATGGCCAACCCTTCCTGGGAACAGGACGCTGGCAGCACATTTGAGCCACCCCATTCTGATTTTGGTCTTCTGTTTCCTGTTGGACATTGGGTGTTATGTGGGCCAGGGCTTTGAGCCAGCCTCTCACTCACCCTGCTGTCAAGATGATTGCTGTGCATGGCCAACCCTTTTCTGTGCTGCAAGCCTCCACATCAATAGTCATTGTGGGACACTGAGAGGTTGGGCTTGTCAGTGATGGTCTTGGGTCTTCAAGCCACCACACATGTTGTTGCTAGCTTCTGCATTTGGTTCTCTTCTTCTTTCAACATTTCAATGCGGTTGACTCTGGATCTTCTTTATCTCAGGGCCCCAAGCCACGTCCACATCTTAATTCACATGTCAACACTGTTGAGTGTGGGTCTTCTATGTCTCAGGGCCCCTGGCCACCTCCATGTCTTCCTTCACTTTTCAATGCAGTTGACTCTGGGTTTTCTTTGTCTCAAGGCCCAAGGGAGGAGCGGGGTTGGCCATACCCAACAATCATCTTGTCCATGGACAGTGAACGGGGCCCAGGGACATGGCCACCCACAAAACTGCAGGTGACTCCTGTGCCCAAGGGAGGAAGGGGGTTGGCCATACCCAGCAATCATCTTGTATGCAAGACAGTGAACAAGGCCCAGAAATGTGTCCACCCTGCAACAGTATGGGTGTCTCCTGGGCCCAAGGTAGGAAGGGGGTTGGCTATACCCAGTGATTCTCTTACTGCCTCTATGGCCCAGGGGGAGAGGGGGTTGGACCCCTGGGTTTTGGCCACTGAATGTTGGTCTGGATGGGCTATTGGTCTGATACAACATGGCTTCTCTTATGTTCTTATGACAACCTCAGCAATCATGCCACCTGTGCAGTGGGTGATTGGTTCCTGGGCCCGGGGGAGAAGGGCTGGCTGCTTTCTGGCACCAGGCTGGGTGGGGCCACATGGGTATGTACTCGAGGTGGGAGCAGCAACAGGGAGTTGGGATGAAGAGGGTGAGGATGCTTCCCCTCCCCACCCTCTGAATAACTGCTGTTAGGGGTGTCTTGGGGCAGTGCCAAAAACTCTTTTGTCTCTGTGGAGAGCCCCAGGAACAGATGAGGGGAAGAAGGTTTTTAGATCTTTGGTGATGCCTGTAGTGAGAATATTTGAAATAAACATTTAGTTTGGATTTAAAATCGAACCACAATTTCCTATAAAATCCATGTAACCTTTTCTGTCTTTGTAGTAAGCAATTTGCAGCCTGCTAACAGTACTGAACCAAACACCCATGATGCCTTGCAAACCTCTTTGTCTTAAGCAGATACCTTTCTGTAGTCACGTACGGTACGCAGAGGCCCTACATTCCATTCCCAGGATTTAAAAACAAATGTCAATGGCCATAGGTGTGAAGACTTGAACCAAGGAATAATAAAATGCATATGGCAGGAAGGAGGACCCTTTTGGTCCCAAGAAGCAGTAAATTTGCAAAGGAATCGATGCCAAATGACACAAGGATTCACACGCCCACTTCCATCCTTGTGATAATGTCAGCAATGTTTTATCTTTAGTGCCTGGAACATAAAGGACACATTGACATAAACATCTTGAGGTCTGTCATTCAGAAATTTAGGTGTTAACTGGTTTTGCTCTGTAAACAAAATTTAACTTTCTGGAATGTGAGAGCCATCTCCTGTCAATGGTTTGGTCATCAAATGCCGATTTATGTCAATTGATGTAATTTATAACTGTCAGAGTTATTTAGCAATCCTTTGATCAATTTGTATAAATTCACTTCACCTCCAACTAGTCTTGGCTGAACCCTCTTGGAGTCAGGGAGGCCACATCTCCCTAGAGCCTTGTCCGTTTTTTAGCATGCTTTAAAGGGGAAACTTTGTATATTTTTATCTCTGTGTTCTCATTTATCTACATTTAGGAAATAGAGTTGTATTGTGTTGGCACCTGGTCCAGAATTTTGCTGGCCGTTCACCTGGCATTTAACCTTGGCTAAGTATTTAATAAAGATAAGTTTCATTTTTTAAGAAGAGACCTTCTTTGAGTGTCTCTGCCAGCGCTTAGCAGTTTCCAACTTTACACCTTTGCCTGTGGTAAGGAGGCAACACTCAGGGGAAACACAAACCATAAAAGAGTGTGGGTGACACGGGTGACACACATTCACAGACATGTGTAGCCACATTTTCTCTCCACAATGCCCTGCTAGAGCTGGCTTCCATTGCCCTGGCGGGATGGGTTTGGTGCCTGAGGACTGTGGCACAGGGGTGGAGGATTCTTCTTCCCCACATGATGAGCACCCTTTGCATACACTTTCATCCTGACAGCACACAGAATGGTTCATTATTTGATGCCTCTAGCTTGCACAGGGTCCATTCTATACATTCCTTAAGCTGCCCCTGACATTTCCACAAAAGCACTTTTCTAGGGCACCTTCTTTGGGGGACTATAACTTGGACCCCCAAAGTCCAATCCTCACCAAACTTGGTGGGCAGGTAGAGAAGAGTCAACTGGAGTTCCCCTGTGTGTTTGGAGTCTCTAGCATTCTGGGGGGTATTCTGCCATATCATGAACTTAATGAACCTTTTCATTTCATATGAGACCATTTTAGTTTGGTTTGGTTTGTGGCTCGGTTCATGGGTCCACCACAACCCACAAACTGAACTGAACTGCATTTTCCTGGTTTGTGCCCATCTCTAGTAGACATATGCAACAAATTGTCAAGTATACGTATTGTTTAGATTTGATTAATTTTGTCTACAGCATGTATAATGATAATATTTTATTGAAGAGTTCAGTGTTTCACAGTGTTTCAGTTTAACTTGATATCCAAATACAGTCCTAGTGTGACTGTAGGAGAATGTTTTTGGCCAATTAATACTATTTCTCTTTTTTATTGCATAATCTGTATTTTCTATTTTATTTTTCCCCTACCTCTTAGATTACGGAAACGAAGAAACATGTGCTAAAATAGCATAGGATGCAGCAGTTTGCAGCTTTCTTTCAAGAGCATTGGGTATATTCAAAATGTTGCCTGTAGAAAATGAAGGTAAATATGCCAAATAGTACAATTGTATAAATTATATATTTATACAATTATATATTTATATACAATAAGTGTGACTTAGCGTGACTTAGTGTGAGCAGCTTCTGCAGTCTTTCTGGCATTTTTGCTTGCTCAAGAGCTGTAGAGCTCTAGAGCAAGCAGAAATTTTGTGCTGGATCCAACCCCATTGGATTTTCATAATATATATTCCTCAATAACGTCTTTCTTCTTTTTGTTTGTATTCCATTGTTAAGGACATCGGCGCACAGTTAGTTTTAAAATATCACAATCTAGTAGGACCTGGGAGATCAAATTCTATCTTGTTGTGTTGTATTGGTAGGGGCTGCAAAGAGAATTCAGGTAATTGTTTTAGGTAACATTTGCTTCCTTGCTTCATAAAAATATATGGATGTGAATTCCCTTAGAAGTATACTGATGTAAGGGTAAGGTAGTGTATGAGAGCTAATTAGATGTTTATCATCCATATTCTTTCTCTGTCTTTAGTTCATCTTGTTGGAACCAGCTATCATCAATATATCTAATTCTGAAAGTGGTCAGATCTGTGGATACTTAAATCTGGAGATTAGAGCCATGAACAGACAAGACAGACTTCTACAAACCTGAACAAGGGGAAGGAGCAGGGCCCTTTCCAAGGCTGTTTTGGCATTTGAGGGAGGAGTAAGCAGGGCCAGGCCTAGCAGTATTTGGGGAAAGGTGACTTGTTATCACACAAATAGCATGATTTGTCCAGGACTGGCTGCTTGTTACAGCAGCTGCCCCACAATAGCCAATATTGTGTAGTGGTTAAAGTTTCAAAATAGAATTTTGGAAACCCAGGTTTGAATCCCCAGTCTGCCATGGAAGCTCATTGGGTGACTTTGGGCCAGTCACACACTTTCAGTATAACCTACCTCACAGGGTTGTTGTGAGGATAAAATGAAGGAGAGAAGAATGATGTAAGCTGCTTTGTGTCTCTATTAGGGAAGAAAGTGAGTATAAGTGAAGTAAATAAATAATAAATATAGCTGAATATGGGAGGGCAGATAAAAGTTGTGTTGGCTAGTGGATGGGAAGAAGAGAAAGAAGTAAGGAAAGTGGAGAAGATATGGGGGCTGCCAGAAGGAAAAAAAGAGAAAATAATATGGTGAAGGGGATACAGGGGAAAGTGAGGTGCCCCCTGCAAATCTTTGTGGGTTTCCCACTGTGTAACTGGATCTTGTTAGCCAATCTGCTTTATCTACAGCAGATGGCAAACTAAATTTAATATGGGTTCCTGCCAAAGTTTATGGAGGTCCAGACCACCCCAAGGATGTCCCAGTGAAAGAGTCAAGACTGGTGAATTCAAAACAATCTGTCTTTTACTGAATAATATCAAAATCACATTCAAACAATACAGATGCACACACACATTCAATCAAGTTCCTTTAGAATTACAGTAATAGAGAATAGTTCCTTTTACTTAGGAGGTAGGTAGGTAATGGTTCATACTCATCTGTCCTGAAGCCTTGTCTGTTGCAATGAAGAATGAGGGGTAAGGAAAATAGAACCCAGGGGTATTTCTAACTCACACTGCCAGAACCAGCTGGCAAAGTGTGTACCTCTTTGGCTGCAGTCGAAGAGATCAAGAATAGACAAAAGGGTTGTTGGATAGCAAGCTGGACGTTAGGGGATAAAGCAGACAGGGGGTGATGGAGGGTTTGCGGCTAGCAAAGACCCATCACATGGTCCCTGAGTTTCATAGTTGGATCTTCGGGTGGGTGGCAACCTTGCCAAGCTGAAGATCCACCTACCTGTAAGTCCGTCCCATAACTACAACCATTGGTGCGTGTAGTAAGGGCGTCTACTTTAAGGGTTTGGCCAATATTTGAAACTCTAAACTCTAACTCAAGTGAAAGCCATCTGGTTAGGTGTGAAAGCTGGGTGTCAGGATCTTCCTTGATGTGTAGATAGATCTTGGCTTTCCCAGGTAATCAAAGCAACATCTGGCAGGAAATGGCAATTCAGATGTAGAGTGAAAACGTGTATTGCATGACATCAAGTCCTTCAGCAATGGGGGATTATCTCTCTTTAGCTGTTGTTTCTGCTAACAATGGCAAAATGTGCTTCTCTTCCCCTAAGGCTAGGAGCTGTATGTGTTTAACATGAAATGCAGGCAGGTACCTTCTATGTGAAACCTCTCACAACAGGTGATTCAATCAGCTTTCCCAAAGCCTATGGGTATATATGTGTATGCACAGTCCATGTGGTGTGTGTCAGCAGATATAAATCCATGAATTGCAAATATCAGTCTCTTTCTCAACAATCTTATTCAGCCAGCATCATGCAAGTGGGCCAGACTTTGTCCAAAGAGATGCTGACAGTGGGAGAGAAGGACGGAAAGCTAAGACAGGGGGGCATTTAAAGGTAGGTTTGCTTGTGGGCGGGAAGCAGAGATGGAGACAGGAAAAGGAGGAGACCTTGCAGGTCCCTCACATGTTTTCTTCTAACTTGTAACTTTATAGTCAGAGAGCAGTGGATACATTTGTATATATTAGGGAAACAATGTGCTTTAGTTGCATGTGTCCCATAACCACTGGTAATTGGGTATGGTTGCTGGGTTGCCTTTCCAACCAAGACAGCACCCCTTATCCGAATAAACTGTCAGTACTTCTCATTTCACTCCAAGGCTACAGGCTACGGATAACTGGCTTCTCATGTGGCAAATATTTGCATGAATTCACCCTTCATCTAACATCAAAGAGCAGTGTAAAAAAATTGAGGCATGTGCTTGCACTGCCAGAGTTCTTGGCTCCTATATATGGTACTTAACAAACATGAGCTGTTGCATAACCACTAGAGGGCAGTTTGTTCATGGCTAATTGTGGTTTCTTGATCTCATGGGTTTAGGAATTGACTCATTCCCCCTGAGCTGATGTTCCTTTTGTCACTTCAGCAACTTCAGCAAGGGCATCATGCAGTTTCAAACCAGAGGATTAATCTGTAGCCATCCCATAGAATGGATAAGACTTTGTTATGCATTCAGATTTGCTTCTTACTTTGTCAAAAGGGAAGTTAATGCACACACCCTCGACACAATGAATGAAGGAATTAATTGTGGCAGCTATTTCACAGGGAAGATATTTTTCAGTGTATATTTATTTAATTTATTGTCCTGTCTTCCATCAACCAACAACAAGCATACAATGAAGCTTGAGTCCAGTGGCACCTTTAAGACCAACAAAATTTAATTCTGGGTATTAAACTTTGTTGATCTTAAAGGTGCCGCTGGACTCAAACTTTGTTCTATTGCTTCAGACCAACACAGCTACCCACCTGAATCCAACAATAATCATGTTAAAGTAGCAATACATTATTACAATAATAGAAAACTAGCAAGCAGCTATTAAACAAATGTGTCCCCATTGGGGGACTTGAAGTTGAGAATCTAATCAGCAAGGGATGTCTTATGCATGTTGCAAAAGTTTAGATACCATGTCATCAGTAGGGCTGCTAGCCTCCAGGTAATGGCTAGGGATCTCCTGGGATTACAACTGACCTTCAGGCAACAGAGATCAGTTCACCTGGAAAAAAATGGCCACTTTGGAAGGTGGTCTCTATGGCATTCTACCACCCTGAAATCCGTCCCCAGGCTCCACCCTCAAAATCCCAGGTACTTCCCAACCCAGAGCTGGCAACCATGTTCATCAGACAGTGCTTGTAACCCAGTTAGGATAATTTTTCGTAAAAGTCAATTGTTTATTCTCTGGCTTCCCCCCCCCCAATGCTCTTAAAGCTCAGAGAGGGATTTCCTCCCTAATCAAGAAGGAAAAACACTGGGCTAATTAACAAGATCCTTATTTGTCTCTCTCCCTTTTTAAAAGGGGCCACCACTCCAATAATAATACTCCTAGCGATTTGTTGGTCAACTCTCAATAATATGAAGTCTATTAAAATGTAGCAGTAGCATCTTATTTGCAGAACGGAGCAGATGCCTGTGCCCCTGTGCCTTATGAAACAGACTTGAGGATTGCATACCCAAAGGGCACGAATCATCTGCTTTGACCATCAGAGATCACAGTCAAATCATCTTTGGGAAGGGCCCTCCTGTGCCAGCAGGAAGTACAGCTCCTGTAACTTTGTCCTGTAACCTTAAGTTACAGTTTAACAAGTTTCAAAAATCAGTACTATTCCACAGTTATGAAGCTGAAGAACATCTCAGTTTGGTGTATTGGTTAAGAGCAGTGGACTCTAATCTGGAGAACCAGGTTTGATTCCCCACTTCTTCACATGCAGCCAGCTGGGTTCTCTCCGATCTGTTCTCTCAAGAGCAAATCTCTCAGAGCTCTCTCAGCCCCACCTATCTCACAGGGTGTCTGTTATGGGGAGAGGAAGGGAAGGAGATTATAAGATGCTCTGAGACTATGAGTGAAGGGTGGGATATAAATCCTCCTCCTTTTATATTGTGTGAAAAACAAGCAGATTACTAAACTTGGAATATACAGTACACCTAAGAATGGTTCAATGTTTGCAAGATTTGTATACTGAGCAAAGAGCTCTCTCTTCTGTTGTAGATACCAAGCTTTCTCAGTTCAATACATCCTCCACTCTATTCCATGTCACATCACCAACAAACACTGTATAATCCATACATGCTCTCCACTGGTACATCCGCACAGTCCGATACTCCAAAACTGGAGGCAGTGGTTAGTTTGCTTCTGCGTACACATATGGGAAGCTTTTGTTGCAGTGTTTAAAGACGTATCAGATGCTAGTCAGTCATATGCTAGAAACTGGGATGAGTTTACATTCATTACTTTCTTGAGCTTTCTCCCTGTTTTCCAGTCTGTCGTGAAGATCAGTGCAGAAATATCAAGGGATAAGAGCCCATGAAAACCAGCAGCTGCTTCAGCACTTCAATTATCCAGTCTCTTGAGTCTCCAGGGCCTTAATGAACACAGCTTTGAACATTGTGCAAAATAGTTATCTGGTATTGGTCCCATGTTGACTCTGCTGAGACTTGTAATTCATTTTGCAACCACTTCCATGTCTGCTGAACCCTTGTCCAGTTTTATGGAGACCCAATCTGGTGACACCTGCTATTGCAGACTACAGTTCACAGCCAGGGAACAATCAGGGCATAACTGTGTTCAGCAGAATCTAGAATGACTACTTATTTCTTAAGCAATGGTTTATCCAGTCTATCCAATAAGTAGTCCTTTCACCTTTGCTTTCTCTCCTGTCATGAGTTACTGCTCAACTATATAGCCCAAAACAAGTTTTCCTATGCTGGATACACAGACTAGCACTGTTCTACTGATGTCTATTAGGGTAGATTCTAAGTAACTGACAGCTGTATGAGAAACAGAACCAAGCCTATTCCTAATTAGTTGCCAGCTTGTTTCTGGCATGGTTCCTGTAAATTTTACAGCTGCACAGGAGGCAGAAATGGAGTCCCTGAAGCCTTCCTCCCCATCACAGTAAGTCCATACTTGAAAAACTTTCTAAATTCTAGCTCATCCTGAAGCTGTTAATTGCACAGGAGTCCAGCAAAAAAAGAAGATAGCAACATTCTTTCCCCTGTTTCTTCCAGAAATTACCAGTCATAATGCGATGCTTGTCACCAGGGGTATTATTGCCTACCTATACCAGACTATACAATTGTCCTGCATTTATTACATATAAACTGATTTCAGGCATCCAGCCCAGAGCAAGTCCATAATAGTCCTGGACAATAACTTGTGGCATCTAAAATTACCTTTTCATTTCAACTGGTAAATAAACCTTGCAGAGATATGAATAGGACCTACCATTTCCAATTTTCATACAGCTGTCAAGAGTGCCATGACATCATGGTGCTTCTTTACAGGATATTTCAACAACCTAGCCCCTGTGGAATGCCTTCTATGTTTATTAGGGGAAAAACTCACCACAACAAAAATCTTCTGAGACTGCCTATAGTTAGATCTTTGGCACAAGCACATGACCTTCCCTAGAGAAGTGGTTTCCAGACCTTGTTAAGCATGTCAGTTTTCAGTCACCTCCTCAGTCTCTTGTTCAATATATCTCAGCTTGCTGAACTGAGAAGCCACCTTAAGATCATTGGTTTTATATACTGTCACAGATTCAAACACCAATGACAAAGACCCTAACGATCGATTTGCAAGGATGTAATGACACAGAACAGATCACAATCCCCCCTCTTCATCTTTCTTTAATGGATTTGTAAACACACCTTAGTTGAAATACCATCGATGGTACCAAAAAATGGACTCTCCTAATGAAAAGGCCCAGGTAGCCTGTGCTATGATAAAACATGCTCTTATCCAGGTGATACCTTTCTGCATGTAATTTAAACCTGTTGCTTCGGGTCATATCATCTGCTGTCATCTGGAACAGCTCCTTGCCCTCCTCCAAATGACAGCCTTTCAAATATTTAAAGAGAGCAATCATGTCCCCCCCTCAACCTCCTCCAAACTAAATATTCCCAAGGCCCTTAGCTTTTCCTTGTAGGGCTCATTTCTTTATCATATTTGTACCATCGATGGTATTTCAACTAAGGTGTGTTTACAAATCCATTAAAGAAAGATGAAGAGGGGGGATTGTGATCTGTTCTATGTCATTACATCCTTGCAAATCGATTGTTAGGGTCCTTGTCATTGGTGTTCGAATCTGTGACAGTATAAATATTTGAAAGGCTGTCATTTGGAGGAGGGCAAGGAGCTGAAGCAATGGGTTTAAATTACATGCAGAAAGGTTTCGGCTGGATGTATGTTTGTATATGTATGATGAGCCTCCTAGGTAGATCTTCTCATTTCGTTGTCTTCTTCACAGTATTGCTCAAAGCACATACATGATGATGTAAGAAGTCCAACCCATGCAAAAGAAGTTATATCAGAACCAAAAAGATAAATATTATCATTCCTCATGAGATGCAGAGCAGAAGGCTTCACATTCACCCGGGACAAGAAAAAAGAGCTCTCAAGAGTCTCCATGTGGTGTTTAGTAATTTATATATATGAGAGTTTAATAATAGTTATACAACTTGCTATCTTGTAGTTATAGGTATATTATATGTTTTGCATATTATTTTTCTAGTTAATTCAGTGTTTCTCTTACATTGTGAATTGGCTTGTCAGCTTCTAGCATGACTCATACACAGTAATTCTTTATAAATTTGTCTAGTAGCATGACTCATATACAGTAATTCTTTTTAAATTTGTCTGCTTGTTAGTATATACCTGCCAGGAAGGGGCAAGATAGATGGCTCTTTGGGTATCCTGTCCTGGTCCATAAAAGTCTTGTGGTGTGTGCCTTGATTTAATTGGAGAAAAGCAAAGCAGTACACATAAGACACACTCCCAATTTCAGGATAAGTTGAAGTGAAACCCACTGGGACAGGAAGAATTAAAACATCTAGACACACAAATAGGCCTCTACCATATAAACAATACAGACAGGGGTCATTTCCTGCAGGAGCGCACAGGAGCAGAGTTCCGACAGTAAGGAGCCCAGGGGGCTGTTAGCCGAATTGCTTTATTTACAGCAATTGGCAATTTATAAATGGGTTCTTGCCAATTTATACCAAGGTCCCGTTCCCACCAAGGGTTACCAGTAAAAGATTCGAGGCGGTTGTGGTTAAAATAGATGTCTTTTACTTAAAAATATATCTCATACAAACAATACTGATGTACTCACACATTCAATCAAGTTTCTTAGAATTACAGTATGAACATAAACACAGTTGCATTAGCAGGTAGGGGTGATGGTGGGCAATACTTATCTGTCTTGCAGTTTGGTTGTTCCAATGAAGAATGGATGGGAAGAAATGGAAAATAAAGGGATCCACACTACCAGAACTAGCGGGACTGTGTGGGGGTCTCTTGACAGCAGATCAAGAGATCAAAGTAGAGGCAAGGGTTGGGGATAGCAAGTGGGGCTCAAGGGAAGTAAAAGCAGATAGGGGTTGTTGCGGGGATTGCTAAATGTCCTTTCCTGTTAAGCCTAACCTACAAATGGTTCATGAAAAGCCTGCAACAAAAAGAGGAACCTTCTATCAATTGAGGAAGCTTCTAAGCCGGCCCACAATTTCGGCCTCGATATTGAATCAAATCCGTTTTCAAGTCAATGAAAGCAGCAAAAGGCGAATTAGGACCTTTAGCAGTGTATTTCTCTATAAGGTGTTGATTGTAAGGCAGTGGTCTAAAGTGGATCTAAACTCTCTAAAACCAGCTTGCTCTGTCACAATAACATTTTCTTGGATCAGCCAATCCTCAAGCTTTACCAGAAGGTGTTTAGCATATAACTTGCTACATATATTTAAAAGGCTAATAGGCCGATAATTTGCGGGCTTTTCTCTTGTGCCCTGAATATGGGGACCACAATTGCCGTATTCCACTCTGAGGGGATAAGGCCTGAAGAGTCTATAAAAGTGAAAAGGGCTGCAAGGAAGGGTGCCCACCAATCAATATTTTCTTTAAAAAATTCTGGTGGAAGTCCGTCAGACCCTGGAGCCTTAGCAGATTTTAATTGAACAATATAGGATTTAATTTCCTCTTGAAAAACTGGTGACCAGGAAGGCAAGTCCTCAAAATCAGCAGTTGTCACTGGGGTTAAGGGAGAATCTTTATACAATTGCTCAAAAAAAGGTAACCCATTTGCAGGGCTGTATGGGGGGATCAGTCTGGGAGAAAAAAATTGTTTT